GAGGGGAAAAAGGAAAAAACCCTCCCGAAGCTTTACAAAACCCCCCCAGGCTATCTGACTGAGTCTGAACTGATCACTCTGATGGAGAAACATGGTATTGGAACTGATGCTAGTATTCCAGTTCACATCAATAATATATGTGTAAGGAACTTTGTAACGATAGCATCAGGACGCCGGCTGATTCCAAACACACTAGGTATCTTGCTGGTGCACGGCTATCAGCGCATTGACCCTGACCTTGTTAAACCTTCTATGAGATCTGAGATTGAGAAACAATTCGATCTGATAGCTTATGGTAAAGCTAACTTTGACATAGTGTTAGCTCACGCTGTGTCGACATTTCAAGCAAAGTACAAATACTTTGTGGAGAACACCGAGTATATGGACCAGCTATTTGAACTGAGTTTTACAAAACTTTCTGAAACTGGAAAATCGCTGAGCAAGTGTGGTCTCTGTACTCGCTACATGAAACTTATCAGTCAGAAGCCTATGAGGCTGCACTGCAAGAACTGCGAGGCAACCTACAAGTTACCCCAAGGAGGCAGCATCAAGTTGTACCAAGGTAACGTTTGTCCACTGGACCAGTTCGAGCTGGTGGTGTACAACGCTGGAGGTAAATCCTTCATCTTGTGTCCGTATTGTTACAATTTCCCTGAGATTGAGGATATGGGTAATAACTCTGGGTGTAACAAGTGTCCGCACCCCACGTGCCTTAATGCTGCTCCACAGACCTCTGTAACATCATGTCAGACTTGTGATGAGGGAGATCTGGTTCTGGATCCTAACTCAGGTGGGAGGCTTTGTTATTTGGTTTGTTGATTTGTTATGTTACTCTAGCCTTTAAATATTGCACTTTTTAATCAAATTTTAAAGCGATCAATGTCATATTAATTCAAATTTCTCCATTTACATTACTTAAAGCACTCGCGCCCTAATGAGATATTCCTAATTTGGTCCCACCCGCTAAATTAGATTACCCATCGAATTACGGGATCAGCATGCATATCAAAAAACGTAGCAGGAATGCATGGGGGCACCCATAAGACAACTTTTGCTTAAACACAGTCGATACATTTTTGATTAGTGAACTTTTTAGTTATAGCCTGTTGTTATCTGTTTGGTGCCGTGTTTTCAGTGAATCCGTTTGTTTATTTATTCCTTATCCGTAGCAAAACATTTGGATCGCTTTAAGTTCAAAGGATTCTTCATGATAAAATATAAGGTTACGTAATCTTTTAATTTATTAATAACGGATAACGATAATTGATCTAACTAATTGACGTAATTGTCCCAGGTCCAGCGTGGCGTATGAGTTGTAACGAGTTGAAATGTACGTGTGTAGTTAAAATATTCACAGGAGCTGTTCGTGTAGCGGTATCTCCGGACAATGATTGCGATACTTGCGGTACTTCCATCCTTACTGTCGAGTTCAACCCAGTACGTTACGTCTTGTTTCTTATTGTATTATTGTTTCTTATTGTACTGTTTTATTACTTTTAATTAGTGCTTTGTTGACAAATTTATGTTCTTGCAGATGTTGTGATATGGGCTTTTCATATCTGTTAAGTTGTTGATCTGGAGTTAAATTGCAGTTGTTCAAGGTTTAATTTTTCTGATAAATTCTAAGTTATTTAATCCATCAAAAAGACTCAAACTTCATATAAAATATCATAAATTATTATTATTATGATTCATATTATGATTCATAATTATAACGAATAATATCGTCGCAGGAGAAAACACCATTCAAGGAGGGAGTCTCTAAAATAATGGGGTGTGTAATTTGTCACGTAGAACTGTCCCCACTGGTTGAACTGTCCAGACAACAGTTTAAACGGAGGAGAAGAGGGCGTGGTCGAGGAGGAAAGGGGCGTGGTCGGGGAGGGAGGAAACCTAGGACTAAGGATGAGGCACTGGATCAATATTTCGTCTGAGGAGGAATGTAATGTGAAGTCGACATTTTTGAGTTTTGCGGTTGTAATTGTGCTGATCACGGGTGAAGACTAAAGACACTTACGAAATAAATTATTTTTGAAAGCTTTTTAACTTAAACCTTGACTTGGTTGAGTAATTGTTGTTAATAAGATATTGATATTATGTTAGTTGTATTAACAATTTCGCTGATAGGATGATGACCATTTACGCGTTCAATTATTAAAATCTAATATATCGAACCGACATTAGTTTCATGAAACTGTTTGTACGCTACATTTTATCACTCAACTAACAAGCCCATCCTTACTATAGCAACATGGCGATGCTCCAGACGGAAGTAGTGCAGCAGTGTAGTGTCGTAACAGAAGTCTACCAGACTGAAACCCCGACACTCCACCTCCAACAGACCCCGTCAGAAACAACACAGAGCAACTATGTGAAGATAATAAAGAGTATTGGAGCTGGCAGTGTGGTGGATATACTACCTTCAGTTGTCGAGCACATTGTCAGCAACACTAACAAGGTATTTACAAGTATTTACAAGTATTTACAAGGGCTCAATTTAGTGAGAAAACCCGTTTACATGGCCATTAGGGTAATAAATGTTACATTCTTTATCGAAGGAGGAGCTCAAAAACTTTGGTAGCCAGCATTATTTAGCAATCTGTAGAAGTCTCCGCACGGCCACTTTTAAAAAGTTTTTGGTTTAAAGAATAAACGATAAAGATTACATCATAATTTTCAACTTATATTAAAGAAAATGATATTGTTATGTATCATATGATTTTGTAAACATTGGCCGGTGTACAACCGGTCCCCAATCAACAAACAGTGGTGTTTTATACAAAAATCAGAGCGGTGTAATAATTTTAATTATCAACAGATCGAGCGAAGTGAGCTTATCCAGGAAATGGCGCGGAAGTTGAAAGACGAGGCAATAATGTGGCAGCTTGTGAAGCACAACCTCCTCAACTCTATTCTCTCCCAACTTCTGGATATCTTCAGTGGGGAGACTTCTCAGTCCATACAGTTCGAGCTCATGACTGTTATATGCTCCCTCCCTCAGTAGGTCTTGTGTAATTTTAATTAGTTAATTAGTTAATTAGGTGATAAGATAGTTCGGTGTTTAAATTTTTGAATCTTGCTGAAATTATGATTTGTAATGATTGATATTTAATATCTAAATTGTTTTGATTTGGTTTCTTGACACATAGTTGCATGGCCTCCATTACAAGATCATAATATTCCCGGCCTTTTGCCTGTTATTCCTGCAAGCTGGTAATTAAATAATATGATAATAAGATAATCACCCTCCAGGTCTCACTTGACAGAGAAATTATTATCAAAACTCCACTCTGCCGCTCTTTCCTCCTCTCCCCTGATCAGAAGACAAAGTCTCCTTCTGGTCCTCAAAACCCTTCCTCCAAACGTTTCTCTTAAGTTTTTACTCGCTTACCTTGATGATGATGTGAGTTGACTAATTATCTCTTTGATATATTATTATGTGACTATATCTCTGCCTATAACAGTCCAAAGTCTATAGTATATGTTTATAGCTCTGTCTGTAACTGTCGAGTGTGGATAGCCCCACAATACTATGACGTACTGTACGTGATAATTTTAATCTGCCCGTGGCCGTGATGACAGTTCTCTGGTGTAATATCTCTCTCTTGACAGGACCCAAGAGTTAGAACAACAGCAATACAGCATCTCCACAAAGCAGCCGACTCTGGGTGTGACATACCTTTCTCTGTTTATCACAAGCTTATCGCTAACTTATCTGACTCCTTCGACGAGGTTTGCTTTACTTTTTGTACATTTAGTAAATTCACGATTGTTAATGACTTGTTTGATGTGACATCTAATTTTACTGATAGATATTAAAGTATAATTTATATATTTGTAAACCCAGTAAAATAAAACTAATGTAATAACTATAACTACCAGGTGAGACTACACTCAGTTCGTTTATTACCTCATCTGGTTAAACAACACAGACACGAACATCTAGAAACTACAGGATCACGTACCACCACCCTGACTCACCATACATTCGTTCAGGTAATATCGTGTAATCGTGTAGTACATGCTTGGAATCGTTTATATTATAAGGTAATTTAGGGTATTTGAAAGATCAGTGGCGTCGCCAAGTTCTCAAGGATTGCATGTTCTTGGACTTTTAATTGTGGCGGTATTGTTAAATTCTTTTATAAAACACGACTCAGCATGATAATCATAACCCTATAAATTTTTATCTTATTTATATATACATTGAATTTACTAAAGTACTTAGTGCTACTCAAGTTAACGCGCCATTATGCTTCAGCTGTGTATGCTAATGAGGGACATGAGCACTAATGTCAGAAGTGAAGTGGCTAGAGTCCTGGGATTGTTCACTGATGTTGACCCGGTATGTTAAGTAGTAGCTGATACAGGGGGCCGGAGGGGGCCAAAACTGATGTACATTCTCTGATATATCTAACATAATATTAGCTATCGTTATTTTATTGAAAAACTATAGATCTGGAAAATCAAACAGAAGAGTAACTCAACAATACGACCTTTTGATGTCTGATAACCACAGGAGTATTTGAAGCAGACCCATTTTGGGGTTTTTACTTTTTTTTTTTAAAAACCCCAAAAAGAAATTTGTTTTTTGACCCTCCAATTTTCTTTTAATTTTTGTAAAAAATTTTTTTTTTTAATTTTTAAAACCCCAATTTAAAAAAAAAATTTTTTAAAAAAAAACAAATTTTTAGATTTTAAAATTAATTTTTTTTTTATTCCTCTTTTTTTCAAAAAGCAAAAAACATTAAAACCTAAGGACCCACCACCCCTACCCTCAAAATTTCCCCAAGGAAAATGGAAAACATCACTTTTAAAACCCTTAAAAAAATTTTTTTTTAAAAATTAAAATCGTGGGGGGGAATTTCTTAAATTTCAAAAATGTTTTATTTAAAATTTTTAAAATTTGGGGGTTTTTAAAAAAATTTTTTAAAAAAAGACCCCGGATAAATTCCCCAAAAAAAAAATTTTTTCTTTTAAAAAACCAGGGGGGGTTTTTTAAAAATTTTAAAACCCCAATAATTTTAAACCCCCCTTTTAATTTCTTGGGGGGTTTTTTTAAAAAAAGGAACAATAAGGGCCCCAAAAAAGGGTTTTTCCCCAGGGGGGTTTTTGGGTTTTTTAAAAAGGGTTTTTAAGGTGCTGGGGGCCCCGGAGGGGGGGGGGAAAAATGGAAAAAATTTTTTTAAAAAAACTAACCAAAAAAAAAGGGGGGGGGAAAAAAAAAAAACATAGATTTTAAAAAAAAAAAAAAAAAAACCCAAAATAGCCCTTTAAATTTTTAAAAAAAAAAAAAATTTGGGGAAAAAAAAAGAAAGAAAACCCCCAAAAAAAGGGGGTTTTGGACGGGTTTTTAAAATGAAAAAAAAAGAAAGTTTGGGTTTCCCTTTTTGGGGGGCCCAAGGGGCCCCTTAAAAAAACAGGGGGGAAAAAAAAAAAATTTTGGGGTAAAATTTTTTGGGAATTTTTTTTAAAAAAAATTCGGGGGGGGGGAAAAAAAAAAAAATTAAATTTTTTTCCCCTTAAAATGAAAAAAAAAAATTTTTATTAAAAAAAAGTTTAAAAATCCCCCCACATTAACCTTTTTTTAAAAAAGGGAAGGGAAATTTTTATTAAAAAAAAAATAAAAACCTTTTTCCCCCCCCGGGGGTCGGGCCCAAAAAACCGGTTAGGGGCCCCAAAACCCTTTTCCCCCCGTTGGGCCCCCAGTAAAAAACCTTTTTTTAAGGGCCCCCCTTTTTTTATGTTTTTTAAAACCCCCAAAAATGGGGGAAAATTTTAAAAAAGGGGGAAAAAGGGGGTTTTTTTGGGGGGGTTTGGGGTTTTTAAAAATTTTAATTTTTTTTTAAAGGGGGGGGGAAAATTTTTTTTGTCCTCCCTTTTTCCCCCCCCCCCCCCCCCCCTTTTCCTGGGTCCCCCCTCCCCCCTCCCCCGGCGAGGTTTGGGTTTTTTTCTTTTTTTTTTTTTTAAATTTTTTTATTTTTAAAAATTTTTTTGGGGGTTTTTTTTTTTTAATTTTTTCCGTTTTTCCCACCCCATTTTTTTTTTAAAAAAATGTGCCCTTTTAAAAAAAAGGGGGGAAAAAAAGGGAAAAAAGGGGGGGGGGGGACAAAAAGGTTTTTTAAAAAACCCCCCCCCCTTTCTCCCCCCCCAAACCCCAAAATTAAAAAAAAGGATAAAAATTTTTCCCTTTTTAAAAAATTTTTCCGTAAAAAAAAACCGAAAAAAAAAAATTTTTTTTTTTAAATTTTGGGAAAAACCCCTTTGGGTTTTTAAAAAAAGGCCCCCTTTTTTTGGGTTTTAAAAACGTTTTCGGTTTTTGGAAGGGTTTTTTTTTAAAAAACCCCCCAGAATAAACCCAAGAAAAGCAAGTAAACAAAAATTTAAAAAGGGGGGGTTAAAAGGGGGGCTAAAAAAAAAAATTTTTTTCCCCTTTTCCTTTTCCCCGGGGCCCCCCCAAAAACAAATTTGGGGGGCCTTTTTTTTCCAAAAAAAAAATTTTGGGAAAATTTTTTCCCGGGGGGCCGGGAAAATTTTTTTTTTGGGGGGGGGGAAAAAAAAATTAAAAAACCGGGGCCCAAAAAATTTGGGCTTTTCCAAAAAAAAATTTTTGGGGCTTTTTTTTTAAAAAAGGGTTGGGTTTTTTTTTTTAGTTTTTTTTTTAACCCCCACCCCCTTAAATCGGTAAAAAATTTTAAACCAAAGAAAAAATTTAATTTCCCCCCAAAAAAAATTTTTTCCAAAAGGGGAAAAATTCCCCCCC